GCGTGGCTGGGGTGCGACCGGGCTGCCCGGCTGCAGGCCCGCTTGGTCCAGGGATGGACTGCGTCCTGTGTGCTAGACGTTCAGGCTGCTGGCCACTGGGCGGGGCACCCACAGCCTGGTCACCCTGAACCTGGAAGCTGAGGCCTCGGTGGCTGGAGGGACTCTGAGATCGGGGTCCCCCCCCCCACGCCCACTGCACCCTCTCTGGGGAGGTCCCAGGGCCAGCACAGCGGACGCTGGGGTCGGACACGGGTGGGTCCAGAGGAGAAGCTCCGTACATCGATCTCGTCCAGCGCCCCGTCCAGGTACCGCCGCACCTGGGAGTTGATCTCCGCGATCTGGACCTCGTCCATGGGGTCGTAGTTCACATGGGAGCGGTTGGCCTTGGAGGAGGAGGCAGAACGTCAGCTCGCGGCGCTGAGCCCACGGGGCGGCAGGGGGCATCCTGAGAACCAGCACGGGAGCCTGGGCCCCTCCTGGCCACCAAGCCAGCCCCACCCGCTCTACCATCAGGCCTGGAGGAGGAGGCCTGGCCCAGGCCAGTGGCTCTGGTCAGCAAGGGACAGCGGAGCCAGCGAGGAGAGGGGAGGCGCCCGGCACAAGCCTCTACTCCAAGCGAGGGGCTCTGCTGGCAGGTTCTAGGAGGAGGGCATGGGAGGGCGGTGTGGCCTTGGCCTCCGGGCCCCTCTGGACCTGAGCATCACCCAGGCAGGCCCCTAAACTCCTGGCTCCGTGCTGCCCCCTCCACACCCCAGCCTGCCCCACATCCCTGACCTTGACCCATCATGTCTGCCACGTACCCCAACCTGCCGGCCCCCGGCCCCTCGTCCTCCTGCCGCCTGCCTGCCTCTGCTCCCTGGCCATCCGACCCCCTGCCCGCCAGGCATCCCTAGTCCCCCCAGTCTGTGTTCCCCGAGTCTCCCTGACGACGTGGCCCCTGCCCCTCTGGCCGCCGTGCACCCAGGCCTGTCCCCAGCCCCCTGGCCCCTTACCAGGCTGTCGTGGATGGCCAGCTCCTGCTTGAGCAGCACCAGCTCCTTCTCCAGGTTCTTGACCATCCGCTGCCAGGGAAGCATCAGGGGGTGGAGCGGGCAGTCAGAGAAGCCACGGCTTCTCCCCGTCAGCCCAGTCCCTGCCCTCCGTCAGCCCGCGAGCCCTTCCGTGGACTGATCCCGCGTCTGGGCAATTCCCTCCCCACTGGTGACTTTCCCCAACTGGGGTGAGTTCAGGGTTTGAGGGGCCTCGGCAGCCCCGGCAGAGGAGACTCAGAACAGAGTGAGCACCGGCACCCCGAGGGCCGCGCCAAAACCCAACTCCGCCCTGGCTGGTGTGGCCCAGTGGGTAGAGCGTCGGCCTGCGGACTGAAAGGCCCCGGGTTCGATTCTGGTCAAGGGCACATGCCTGGGTTGCGGGGTCAATCCCCAGTGGAGAGCGTGCAGGAGGCAGCTGATCCATGATTCTCTCTCATCATTGAGGTCTCTCTCCCTCCCTTCTTCTCTGAAATCAATAAAAATATATATTGTTAAAATGGCCACTGGAGGGAGCCCTTGGCAGCGGGATCCGGGACCCAGATGTGGCCAGTCCCCTGCCCGAGGTGGAGAACCTGGCGTCTGGGAAGCGACTGCTCCTTCAGGTGGGCTTACTCAGCGGGGAGGGGGGGTCTGGCTGAGCTGTGACCTCTGGCCAATCAGGTGACACGGGGAAGTGGGCCATCTGCCCGGGGGTCACCAGCCTCCAGGACACACCCTCTTCCACTGACCAGGGAGAAGCTGCTTGGACGCAGGCTGGAGAGGCAGACCCCACGGAACGGCGCCTGGCAGCACTCGGCTGACCAACTGCCTTAGAGAAGCCAGAGCGTTTCCTGGTGGAATGAACGCTGTGGACACAGCACAGACTCACATTCCCTGCCCGCCAGGCGCTTTCACCGTCACGCACGGAGGATGGCTCTGAGAGCTCTGCGTGAGCCAGCACTGGGCCCACCGGGCCGCAACGGGCAGCACCAGGCCACACCGGGCAGCACTGCAGGCAGCACCGGGCCATACCAGGCAGCACCGGGCCGCACCAGGCCAGCAGCTCTCAGCCGGGAAAGCTTCCCTGGAAAGTGGCGACCCCCCACCCCTGCAGGTGTAGCCCCTCTCGGCAGAGCGCAGCACCCCTCGTCTCTGCCGTCCGCTCGAGCCCGAGGCTCACAGAATCGCAGCCGGACAGGGGGAGGTCAGCAGCCCAACCTCCCTCGTTCACCGGTGATTACCCGGAGGCCCAGCTGCTGGCGGAGGTGGATCCAGAGCCCAGCCTCCTGCCTCACAGCCAGGCCCACCAGCCAAGGAAATCCGGGAAGCTCTTCCACCGCCGCGCACAGGTGTCAGCGGGGAGGGGGGTCCTGGGAGCCACCTGAGGACGGGCTCATGGGAAAGGCGGCAGCAGAGCAGGTGTCCCCACCGCGCTCAGCGCTCAGGCTCATAAAGGAAGACGCTCAATCAGGGCCACAGCGCAGACTTCAGAAGTCACTTCACAGAGCGTGAGGGTCCTCCCGGCAGGCACACGCCCACCGCCAGGCTCACAGGCGGCCACGTGGCCTCCTGAGTTAGAACTCCAAGTAACAAGAAAAATAAATGTAAAAACATAAAGCCCCGGCCAGGTAGCTCAGTTGGTTGGAGCCTGGTCCTGATTCGCCAAGGTTGTGGGTTCGATCCCAGTTAGGCACAGAGGGGACTCAATCAAGAAATGCATCAATAGGTGCAATGACAAATTAATGTCTCTCTCTCTCTTTCTGTAAATCAATTTTTAAAAATTTTAAAAATCAAAAACTTAAAGCTGCAGAAAAGGATAGAAAACAATGCTATGAAATGTAATTAGACCACCCCCAAATCTGAATTTAACAGCATGCTGCCATACTGGCATGTGTGGGTGTGGGTGTGTGTGTGTGTGGGTGGGTGTGTGTGTTTAAAGCAGTGGTTCTCAACCTTCCTAATGCCACGACCCTTTAATACAGTTCCTCATGTTGTGGTGACCCCCAATTTCATTGTTATAAATTGAACATAATGAAAGCATAGTGATTAATCACAAAAAAAGTAATTATATATGTGTTTTCCGATGGTCTTAGGTGACCCTGTGAAAGGGTCGTTTGACCCCCAAAGGGGTCGCGACCCACAGGTTGAGAACCGCTGGTTTAAAGAAATAAAACACTTCAGATAAATGTGAAGTCCCCGTGTACCCCAGTCCAAGTCCATTCCCCCAGACACCCCAGAGGGACCCTCCAGCCTCGTTATCCTCTGTCACTAGCGCGCACACACACACACACACACACACACACACACACACACGGCACCCACTGACAATGGCTGGACTTGTGTTTCACTTTGTGATGGTGCAGAAGCGATGTGGTTCGGCAGAAACCAGCGAGGCTGAATGATGACGCTGGGTAGGTTGAATGCATGTTCAACTCACGGTATTTTCAACTTGAGACGGGTTTCCGACGTCGCCCCGTCGTCAGCCCAGGGGCATCTGTACCCGTGAGTGGTCGTCAGTCTCGCTTTGAATGTGTTTATACTTGGAGTCGATGTCAGATGCGACCGTTCGGGCCGCTTCAGTCCCCACCCGAGATGATCCAGGTCAGGCCCTGGCTCCGGCTCCCTCTCCCCACAACACGTGCAGCCACTCCCCCCGAAAGGTGACTGGTCATGTCCCCACCTGCTCACAAGGAGCAGTGAGAGCGCTGTCCGCTGTAAACCTCTCTACACGCATCCCTGAGGTCTACACTGTGACGCAGACCTGGCAGGGACCCGTGGGAGTGAGCAGAGTGTTGGCCAACATCTCCTGAGCATCAGCAACAGGACAGCACTGTGCGAAGAGGTTTCCACCCATCACCTTATATATAGTGTATATATATACTAGAGGCCCTGTGCATGAAATTCGTGCAGGGGGGATGTCCCCCTCAGCCCGGCCTGCACCCTCTCCAATCTGGGATCCCTCACAATCCGAGACTGCTGGCTCCTAACTGCTTCTGCCTGCCAGCCTGATCGCCCCCTAACCACTCCCCTGCTGGCCTGATCGCCCCCTAACCACTCCCCTGCTGGCCTGATCGCCCCCTAACCACTCCCCTGCTGGCCTGATCGCCCCCTAACCACTCCCCTGCTGGCCTGATCGCCCCCTAACCACTCCCCTGCTGGCCTGATCGCCCCCTAACCACTCCCCTGCTGGCCTGATCGCAGCCATCTTGTGATGATGTCGCATGAGGGCCCTTGACCGGAATCGAACCCGGGACCCTTGGGTCCGCAGGCTGACGCTCTATCCACGGAGCCACATGACCAGGGCCACATCTCTGAGAGTGGCTTCGGTTACGCCCCAGCTTCACAGATAAAGAAGCTGAAGCTCAGGAAGACGACAGATCTTGCTGAGGCCGCACAGCGATGCAGGGAAGCAGGCTGCTGAGCCAGAGCAGCCCAGGGCAGGGGCCGGGGCTCCCAGCCACCGAGCCAGCGGTTCTCAAAGTGAGGCCTCAGAGCAGCAGCAGCAGCAGTGGGGAACGCCTAGTAATGAGACTCCTCGGGCCCCATCCCAGGCTGACGCCATCAGGAGCTATGGGGCCGGTCCAGGGGCCTGTGGTCCAGCAAGCCCACAGCATCGCCCTGGTGCCCGCTCAAGGCTGAGAGCCAGCTCCAAGCGCTGTTCCCTCAGCCCCCTGCCG